CTCTGTGGTCTTTCTCTCCAGCATGGGGCGCCTGGTGTTGGTGTTTGTGCTTCTGGGGTCCCCTCGGCTCTGGAGCAGCTCCTCAGCCTTTCTTGGCTTTTGTGACTTTGTTTTTATAGGACAGTCTCCCTCCTTTAAGAAACATTTTAAAGTGAGGGTCCTCATGTTAGGTCTGGTGATGCTTCCTCCTGATGGAGCCGGCTCCCGCGTCCCTGCCGGGGCACTGCAGGGGTGCGGTGCGTCCCTCAGGCTCCCACGTTGGAGGTGTGGGAGGTCCCTCCCGCCTCACTGGCCTAGTTAGGTTTTTTTTTTTAAGATTTTATTTTTTTAATTTTCAAAAAAATGTTTATTTTGAGAGAGAGAAAGACCGTGTGAGTGAGGGAGGGGCAGAGAGAGAGAGAGAGAGAGAGAGAGAGAGAGGGAGAATCCCAAGCAGTCTCTGCACTGTCAGCACAGAGCCCAGCATGGGGCTTGAACCCACGAACCGTGAGATCATGACCTGAGCCGAAAACAAGAGTCAGACACCCAATTGACTGAGTCACCCAAGTGCCTCTAAAGATTATATTTTTTAAGTAATCTCTACCCACAGTGTGGGCCTTGAACCCATGACCCCGAGATTGAGTCGTACACTTGACCGACGGAGCCACCCTGGCACCCCTGGTCAGGTACTGTGTGATGTCCCCACTGGAGAGTTGCTGTCTTCTTCCTTGTAGCTGATAAGCAATCTGTGGGGAGACCCTTTAAGCCCCATAGACCTATGCCCCTCAGCTCGCCGTCCCCTGGAGCTGGCGTCTGCTGCCTCTTCGAGTGAGGGTTTCCAGCTCCCGACTGGGATGGACTCAAGGTCACCTTTAAAAAAACCCAAACCGCCGTCCCTGCTTATTTTGGTGCTCAGAGTGTCCCGGAGTGTCCCTGGTGCCTGCGGGCTGTGTTCTCGTGACATCCTCGTCACGTTCTGTTGCTCAAACCATTGCCTCCTTCCTGGCATAACTGCCCCAGGCTCACCCTCTGTCTTCCCTCCTCCAGCCCCCGAGTCCACCGTTTCCGCGCGGGGCTGTGGTTTCCCATCCTTGCCACTGCCTTCTTTTTTCAATTTAAAATAATTTTTTTAATGCTTCTTTATTTTTGAGACAGAGAGCAGAGGGGAGGGGCAGAGAGAGAGGGAGACACAGAATCTGAAGCAGCTCCAGGCTCTGAGCTGTCAGCACAGAGCCCGACGCGGGGCCCAAACTCACAAACCGTGAGATCATGACCTGAGCCGAAGTCGGACGCTTAACCGACTGAGCCACCCAGGCGCCTCTAAAATGTAGATTTTAAACAGCTGGACAGTTGCTTATTACATGTATTCATATTGATTTCTGTGTAGCTGTTGTAAATAGGACTTTTTCTTCCATTGCACCTTTTCACCACTGTGGGTGTTTTCTTTCTGAAGAGTCATTTACAGACCTACCAGCAGTTCACATGGCTCTTAACGTATACCACACTGGTTTTAAAATAGAACTGTATTTTGAGGTGAGTCCCACTGTAAGGAGTGCGCAGAGGGGTCTGGGTCCCTTTCCCATCATCCCCGGGAGGAAGCCCATCTCTGGATGAGCAGAGGCTGCAGAAAATCACCCTCATGAAATAACATGAACTTTTTACCTGCCTCCAGGTGACTTTCGCGTTGGTCCAAGGACGGAAGCCAAGGGGACTTTGTTTATTTCTGGGGCTGCCAGAACAAATTGCCACGGACTGTGTGTATCTCAAAGCAATTGACATTTATTCTGTCACAGTCTGGAAGCCTCGGATCCGCAATCAGTTGCGCTGGGCCGAAGCCAGTGCAGGCAGGGCGGACTTCCCTTTGGAGGCTGCGGAGGACGGTCTTTCCGGCCTCTTCTGGGTTTTGGCGGCCCCTGTCTTGTGGAGCAGCTCCTGCCCTCACTGGCGCACGGCCTTCCCTCTGTATCTCCCTCCGCCTGTCTCCAGTGTCTTTCTGTCCTGCTTTCTAAGGATGCTTGTCATTGGATTTAGGTTCCTCTGGATAATCTAGATCCCCGAATTGCATAATTAATTCCATGTGTATGGACCCTTCTCCCAAATAAGGTCACAGTCATAGCGCTCAGGGCTTAGGACGTGAACATGTTTTTTTTTTGAGGCCACCATTGAGCCCCGCTCGGGGAGCCCAGATTGTGGCATTCCCAGGGGTTGGGTGCCTGTTTTTGGTTGGGGCTTTGCCTGCTGAATGTTGGTGTGGCTCTTCTGTTTCACGACAAAACTGGCTCACATTCCAAGTGTGTTCCTTTGGCCTCTCGTGTGTTGTTTGCCATTACAGTGAAAAGCCTTAGTGGGAGCAAGGTGATGTATTTTTTCTTTTCATGACATCAAACCCAGTTGGGCCGGATAAGATGTTCTAAAGTAACTGATCTTCTCCCGACCGCTAGAATTCGCCGACGGGAGGAGCCTCGTTAGGTGGACCTGCTAGACAGCTGCTATCACTGCCCACCTGTTTGGTTGCACCTGACCTTCTCTTCAGAGGCTGGGGCTGGGGGGGTTTGAGGGACGTGGGGTGGGGGACGTTCCCACCTCCCGGTGTCATACTGGCCCAGTGAGAGGGAACAGAGGCTAATAAATGGCCATTGAATTGTCACCGAGCCCTAATTGTTGCAGAAATCTTTGCAAAGGAGTGATCAGTGACTTGCTAACCATCTCCTCTTGTCCGAGCTGTTAGAAACATGAGCGAGGGAAGCTGGATGTGTGTATAACTGACAGATACGTTGTACAGAGGAGAGCTCTATTGACTGAGGACCAGGAAACCAAAGGAACCATGAAATTGGAAGATTGCGTATCAGAATCACCTGATTTGAAAGATTAAGCCAGAAGGACTTGCATGAACAGCATCAAAACTTGGATACGTATTTTATTTTATTTTTGATCCCATAATAAACTGGATTTTCTAGGAGATAGCTGTTTAGAAATGTAGCCTAGAAATGATTGGGTCTGTATAGTTTTTATAGCGGCCAGCTTTGCCAGTGCATATGTAGTAATTTTATTTTTGAAGGGCAGTGGATTTATAGCTACTTGGTACCGGCTTGCGTCATGTCATTGGCTAACGGGGTGGGGAGCCGCAGGCGTCGTCTTCGTACTTGACACGCGTGGGAGTCACACGCTTGGCTTCTTGCTTTGCTGGTTCCTTGTGCTTCCAAGATATGGATGTTTCTCTTGTTGAACTGGCAGGGACCCAAATCCCCGGTCACCCCTGTGACCAGGGCGGAGGTGGTGGGAGCCCAGCTGGTGTCTGAAGTTTGGCTCCATTGAAGGGTCAGAACAGGCCCCCCTGAAGTGAGGTCGGTCCACTTGACAGTGGGGCCTCCGGAAGAGATTAGTTAAAGACCAGAAGCTGACTCTGGACGTTTATCCCCACGTGACTGAGGATTCAGCAGGAAGGGACACCATCTGGCAAAGGAATGGTCTGGAGAGACTGGATGAGACGAATGTGCTTCCTTTCTCATGTGGCGCACCGTTCGCACCTACACTGGCTGCGGTTTGGCCTCGCAGGCCATCGAGCCACCTGCGTGGGTCTCTAGCCAGAGTCCTCTTGTGTGTGTGTGTATGTGACCTTGGACCCGAGTGCCGCCGACTCCTGACCAGGACAGGGGTGTGGCAGCCCACCTGTGTCCAGTAGGTAAGCGGGGTCCACTGGGAAACCCTGGCCGCTCCGCTGGGCGCAGCCCGTGTCAGCGGGCCCCTCGGCTCTCCTCTCCTTGGGGACGGTGTCCTTGATGTCCTTCACCATCAGACAGGGGCATGGACTTCCGTTCCTTTCCAAGAGTGTGAGGCCCTCTCCGTGCAGGCTGCCTGGGTTAGCACGTGGGGCTGCTGGTCTGGGCATCAGAGGCCCTTGGCTCCCTCCGCTGCCCAGCGACCACATGAGCCACAGTCCTCCTGGTAGACGGGCGTGGGCGGCTCTCTGCTGCCTGTGAGGAGAGCGTCAGGAGGTGGGGTGCTGTGCACGTGCTCCCGTTACCGCTGCCAGCTTCAGGGTTTGCTCCTCCCACGTCACCAGCCAGGCCGGGAGTCAGGGTGGAGAAGGTGTGGCTGCGGCCCCAGGTCTGGACTGTGTCACTGTGATGCTGGTTAGGGCCACTGCGCTCTGGGGCTGGAAAGGGCCTTCCTGGGCGCCCAGTCTGACCTACTTGCAAATGCCCCGTGGCCCCTGGTCGAGAAGTGGCCTTCCTGGGTCCCGATGGGCTGCCTCCAAGGAGCCTGTGGCACCTGCCCGTCGGGCTCGGTCGGGGCGGAGTTCCTGACCTTGCCTCCTGCCTGTCTCACTGCCCAGCTGACGAGGGGCCTCCCACCCGACCGGGGCCCGGAGTGCGGTTTTATTCTTACTTCTTAGTGGTGCCATTAAAAGACTGCTGACTCGAGCTCTCAAACTCTATTTGAGAAAATGACTTCTCCCTAATCCTAGATTTTCCTTAATGTCCCCACCGCTTTCACTTGGCCCGCGATAGAGAAGGCGGAGGAAGGACCTGGCCGACTTCCCAGGTGCACCGAGTCACATGGGTATAATGTGCCGTTCTTCATGAGCCGGGACTTTGCTGCAGAAGATGTGTGTTAAATAATCCTGAATTGAATTCCCACGTGCATCCTTCATGATTTTACAAAGTGTCCTCTCGCAAACACGAGTGTCATTGCTAGTGTTTTCCCAGTGGACTCGGGCAGCATGTGTCCAAACCTGCAGGAAGGGCCTCGTGGGAACAGGAAGGGCCAGAGGATGGTATCGGTCTTTAAAGGGAGAGCCGCCGCTGCTTTGAGCCAGAAAGGGAGGCCCGTATGGAGGAGGAGGGTGCTGGTTAGGGTGGGGGGGGGTCCTCCAGGTGGGCGGCTGCTTCCCTGCCCCCGAGCTTCTGCGTCCTGCCCTCTTCCTCTTGCACGGCCCCTGCCTGGTGGCACTGCCCCCTGGTGTTCGCGAGCCGGGTTTGCTGGTAACTGACACACCTATGGGCCCTGTCTCCCTCCAGGCAACCTCAGTCACCTCGTTGTCCAGTGTGGCGTGCATGCACATGGTCCGCTGGGCCGTTTGGAACCCCTTGCCGGAAGCCGGCTCCGGGAAGGTGGTCCTGCCTCTGCAGGGTGGGATCCGGCCCAACCCCTCCCACTGTCTCGTCTATAAAGTACCCCCAGCCCGCATGAGCTCCGAAGAGGTAAGTTGCCGAGGTACTTGCGTGGGAATGAGTCCAGAGCTTCTAGCACGCTCTTAGGTTTTCACAACCAGAAGTTGACAGATCTGTTTGTGGCTGTGACACGAGCAGAATTTCTCATGTCCTGGATCTGCCTGCTGCTGTGACCTCACCACACTGGTTTCATCCTGGGGCTTGAGATGTGCCGTTCACACACCAGTCTCCGGGGCCCGTGACCCTTATTTGTACACAGTGTGTAATGAGAGCCACTTGTATACTGTACGTGCCTTTTTGTTAAACTTTTTTTTTTTTTTAATATTATTTTTGAGAGAGAGAGAGAGAGAGAGAGAGTGAGTCAGGGAGGGTCAGAGAGAGAAGGAGACACAGAATCTGAAGCAGCTCCAGGCTCTGAGCTGTCAGCACAGAGCCCGACACGGGGCTTGAACCCACAAACTGTGAGGTCATGACCTGAGCCGAAGTCGGATGCTTAACCAACTGAGCCCCCCTGGCGCCCCCTGTACATCTTTTTAGAAAAAGACTCTTGGAATGTTTTGCCATGACAGATGGGCTTCAGGACTGTGGTTGGAGCCGGGCCGTCGGCATCCAGCCCGGCCCGTCTGTGCGACTTGTCCCTCGTGCCCGCTGGCCCCTGGCGCTCTCCGGCTCTGTGTGGCGGGCAGGCCACGGCAGGAGCTTTAAAAATCCATGTTTGGAACGACCCTGTCCCTGAACCCCAGCAGAGGAGGCAGGTAAAGGGGGCAGGGCCAGCTGAAGTGTGTGTGAGGGGTCTCGTCCCCCGCGCTCCCCCAGCCCCACCGCGGCCTCGCAGGACGGGGAGCAGGGACCTGGGGCGCTGCCGCCTGGAGCCGTCCTGCCGCCTGGGTCGGGGCAGGTGCTCTCGGTTCCGAAAACACGTTCGCCCCGTTTCAGTGGTGCGGCCGGGAACCTTCCAGAGCTCAGTTGTGTCATTTTTCTTCTGCGAAGGGGCCACCCGTGTGACTTCAGCACGTTGTCTGTGTGCTGACTCCAGCGCCAAACCTCATTTTCAGTGTTGATCTTTATGAAGCGGGAGGTGCTTCGGGGACCTGACGAGGGGCCGCTGATCGTGCAGCTCCTCTTGTGCCAGGAGCGTCTCATTACGGGGCCGCGCTTTGCCACAACCCCCCGCGGGCTAGTCTGAGCCCTCGGTATAAAATTGCCGTTAGAGACCCTGAAGCCACTGTCTCTCTCTCCCTCTCTCTCTGTGTGGGTATGCGAATGTGCTTGAATAAATATTTATTCAGTCTAATTTTAGCCTGTCATGCACTATGTCTCCTTCACTCTCTGTGAGTAAGCTGCACGGGGGGTGGGTGGGTGGGGTAAGCATTGGGAAGGGTTGACTATCCTGAGGACACAAATCCATCCAGCACCGCCATTTTGTCACAAGGAATCTCACTTCTAATTGGCGTCTCTCAGCCTCAGCACTGCTGACCCTCTGGGCCCAACAATGCTGTGCGGTGGGGGTTGTCCCGGGCGGTGGGGATGTTCGCCCCCGGCCCTTGGCCTCCTCCTTCTAGAAGCCAGGAGCCTGCCCCCAGCTGTGAGCGCAGGGTCTGCAGACGTTGCCAATGTCTCCCAGGAGCAAAACCGCACCTGGTTGAGGACCACCGCTCGGAACGTACATAATTAGCTGACATGATGGGCCCAGACTGGCCACAGACATAGTTCTGCCTCCTCTGTGTCTGTCTGTCACAGCGGTGCCGGCGTCTGGCCCGGCAGACAGCTTGCGGGCCGGGCTGTGCCTCGACTCCACCCCTACACCCGGTCATTCTTTATCATATTCATCCATTCAGCGGCTTTTTTTTTTTTTTTAATTTTTAAATTTAAAAAAATTTATTTATTTTGAGAGAGAGAGAGAGAGAGAGAGAGAGAATCCCAAGCAGGCTCTGCGCTGTCAGCACAGAGCCAGATGTGGGGCTCAAACTCAAGAACTGTGAGATCACGACTTGAGCGAAAACCAAGAGTCGGACATTCAACTGACTGAGTTACCCAGGTGCCCTGATTCAGTGAACTTTTATTGAGCACCTATGCATTTTTGGAAAAAATATCCCTCATCCCATGAACTTACAGCTAAGGGGAACTGGCAGTTATTAATCAGAGGAAAATATAAATATTGTAAACATCCCATAATTTTTGATGAAGAAAATCTGAGGGATTGTGTTATGATTATTTCAGTGTTGTTCACTGTGAAGGTAAGCACAGCGTATTATGATTATGTCTTCTTTCCTAAACAACTCTTGTAATTTTCCTATGAGCAAATAATTGTCTTTTTAATAGAAATGTCTATCTCCAGAGGCAGCCACTTCCAACTCTTAGCGGTGACTTATGGTATTTACTTTGTTTCCAAATATTAATGCTTCTATTGGTATTTCTTTGTTGATCCATTTTAGACATTATATATTGACCTCTGATAATGACAGACGAGAGCGTTAGCTCTTTGATGTGCTCCTACACTCTTTAAAGAAACCACTCTGTCCTCCCACTTTGTGTCCTCAGATTCAGAGACTGTTTATTGCCGGAAGTGTGCAGCACAGCGGGGTCTGGCCTGGAGGACTGTAAAGGGAGCTGGACAGCACTGGGCGGGGTGCAGGAAGAGGGAAGGGCTTGGAAAGCAACCCCATAATGTTGCTTAAGAAATGCTGTGTTAACCCTCGGGCTGCATGTGTGTAGTCTGACCTTGAACAGCACACCAAAGACCTTGACAAGTGACTGCGGCCAGACCACCAGCCCTGTCCCAGAGGAGCCCTGGGTGGACCACGTGCAAGAGGGATCCCATAGCCTTGCCCCGATCTGACAGCGCACAGAGAGCTGGTTGGAATCTGTGGCCTGAACACACTGGGCTGATTCCTGACTAAACAGAAATTATCAACATGCCCCCTAGGATTTAATCTTTTTTAAAAAAATTTTTAGGGAGATGGAATGGGGATGCGGAGAGGCAGAGAGAATGGGGGGGCGGTGGAGAATCTCAACCAGGCTACACACTCAGCACAGAGCCCCATGCAAGGCTTGATCCCATGACTCTGGGATCATGACCTGAACTGAAATCAAGAGATAGACGCTCAACCGACTGAGCCCTCCAGGTGCCCCAACATGCCCTACAGTGTTTAAAATGAGACTCAGGGGCGCCTGGGTGGCTTAGTCGGTTAAGCGTCCGACTTTCACTTAGGTCATGATCTCGCGGTTCGTGGGTTCGAGCCCTGCGTCGGGCTCTGTGCTGACTGCCAGCTCAGAGCCTGGAGCCTGCTTCAGAGTCTGTGTCTCCCTCTCCCTCTGACCCTCCCCTGCTCACGCTGTCTCTCTTTCTCCTAGAAATAAATAAAAATATTAAAAAAATAAAAAATAAAAATAAAATAAAATGAGACTCAGAGGGGCGCCTGGGTGGCTTAGTCGGTTAAGCGTCCGACTTTCGCTTAGGTCATGATCTCGCAGTTCGTGGGTTCGAGCCCCGCGTCGGGCTCTGTGCTGACAGCCAGCTCAGAGCCTGCAGCCTGTTTCAGTCTGTGACTCCCTCTCTCTCTGACCCTCCCCTGCTCACGCTGTCTCTCTCTCTCTGTTTCCTAGAAATAAATAAAACATTTAAAAAAAAAATAAAATGAGACTCAGAGTCTCATAATATAATATTCAAAATGTCTGTGATATAATCTAAACTTAATTGACATGCAAAGAACCAGGAAAATCTCAACTTTCAGAGAAAAGACACTCAATAGACACCAAAACATTTCCTGCAAACAGTAATTAAAAAAAAAAAAAGGAGGAACTGTATCAACACCAGGCAAAGTGGACTTTGGAGCAAAGGAAATTACCAGGAATTAAGAAAGATTTTACATGTGACAAAAGAGTCAATTCGCCAGGAAGACACAGCCGTCCTAAAAGTGCGTGCACCTAACACAGAGCTTCAGGATACATAAAGCAAAAACTAACAGGAGTGAAAGGAAGACAGACAGATTCACGATTATAGTCGGAGACTTTAGCACCTCTCTCAGTAAACCAGGGAGAACCTAGAAGATCACCAAGGACAAGGAAGAACTGAAGAACCATCTGGATCCAGATGACCTCTACAGAATTGTCCACTCTTTCCCAGGGCACAGGGAACATGCAGCGAGATAGAGTGTGTCCTGGGCCATAAAACCGAGCTTCATTATTTCTAAAGAATTGGAATTATACAGGTGACAGCCCATGATCATAGTAGAATTCAACCAGACGTCAGTAACAAAGATGAGATAAAAAAGCATAAGCAGCTGGAAAGTAAACAATACATTTCTAAATCCCGAAGTCCAAGAGGTGGCCTCACAAGGAAGTAGAGGATGTTTTGGACAGAACAAAAGGGAAAAGAAAGCGTGTCAGAAGGTGCAGGATACAGCTGACTTGTGCTTCCGTGGAAATTTACAGCATTCAGTGCTTGTATTAGAACAAAGGTCTCTGTTCAGTAATTGTATCTGCCACCTTCTGGGGAAGGACAAAACAACTCTACAGCCAGCAGGAGAAAGTCGTAATAAAGATGAAGAGCAGAAACCGATGAAATCGAAAACAGAAGAACAATAGAGAACAAAAATAGAGAAAATCAATGACACCCAAAATGGATTCTTTGAAAAGATTAATAAAATTGATAAATGCTCAGCAAGATTGACAACAAGAGAGGCCACAGGTTGCTGATGTTAGGAGCGGGAGAAGGACCATCACTGCCGGCCACGCAGGCATCAAATGGACGGTCAAAGAACACTGTGAACAATTCTGTGCCCGTGCATTTGGCAATTTAGATAAAATGGATCCATTTACCTTAAATCAGAAATGATCAGAACTCACCCAGGAAGAAATAGACAACCCGAGTAGTCCTGTAACAATCACAGGAACTGAATTCATGGTTAGAACCCTTGTAAAAAGGCAATATCCAGGATTGTTCACTGTGAATTCTACTTAGAGAAGAGAGAATAGAAATTTTATAGTCTCTCTCAGGAAATAGAAGGATGGGGACAATTCCCAACTCATGTGACGAGGCCGTGCTATCCTGGTATCAAGACCAGAAAGAGCATGGGAAGACTGTGGACACATGTCCCTCCTGGACACAGATGCAGCATCGTCAACCAGACACTAGCAGATGGAAGCCAACAATATGGAAAGAAGACACCATGACCAAGTGGGAGTTTGTCCCAGAAATGCAAGGCTCTTTTCACTTTAAAACTCAATAAATTTACCATAGGAATAGCCTAAAGAAGGTGAACTATATGATCATAGCAATTGGTACAGAAAAGACATTTAACACAATTCAACACTGATTAATGACAAAGACTGTGAGCAAAGTGGGAGCAGACGAGAACACCTCCTCCGGCTTGACAGCCTCCACACACCCACCAGGGAGCATTCTACCAAGCGTGAGAGGTTGAGCACTGGCCCCTAAGATCAGGGACAAGAGAGGGATGTCCACGCAGCATTCAGAATCTCACCCAGCAGCGTAGCTGAAGGCCTAGCCAGGGCATCAAGGCAAGAAGACAAAATTAAAGACCTATAGATTGGAAAGGGAAAAGAGAAACCATCCTTGCTTGCTGACAGGACTGTTTCCGGAGAAGATCCCAAGGAATCGGCAAAATCACCTCCTAGAATGAATGAGTGACTTTATCGAGGTTGTAGGATACAACAGGAGATCAAGATAGCAAAACCAATCATTTCTGTGTATTAGCAATGAAAAGGTGAAAAGCAAAATATAAAACCGAGTATTATTTACAAAACCTTTCCCTCAGTGAAAGAAATCTAACACAACACGTACAGGAGCTGTTTGCTGCAAACCAGCACCTTCCTTTGGGTGCATGTCACTGTGGATTGTGGTTACCCTTGGGTGAAATCAGAGGAACTGCGTAAATGGAGAGACATGTCTTTATGGATGGGAAGACTCCACATGGTAAAGTTATAAATTCTCCCCTAATTCTTCAATAGATGATGTAATTTTAACCAGAATCCCAGTAGGATTTTTTTTTTTGGTCTAGATGCAGATAAACTGACCCAAAGTTTATACAGAAAGGCAGAAGAATTAGAAGAATTAAAAGAATTTTGACAAGAACAGTGAAGTTGGAGAATCCTGCCCCAGGGTTTGAGACTTAGAATGAAGTGGTGACGGGCACTGTAAAGTGCAGTGTTAAGGACTGGCACACAGATCACCAGAAAGGAACAGAGTCTAGCAGTGAACCTTGGTGTCCTGTGGAATTAATACATACATGCCACGTGACCCAGCAGCAATCCCGCTCTTAGAGAAGTGAAGATGTACGTTCCCTCGGAAACATGTACCCCAGCATTGGTAACCGCCCAAACTGAAGATGGCCCCAGTGTGCTCAAATGGGTGAGCAGATGAATAAACCTTGTGCATCGTACAGTAGAATACGGGGAAACGGAGCAACTATCGATATGTACTACCACTTGGGTGAATCTCCCCACCTTGTGCTGAGTATAAGAAGCTGGTCTTGAAAACTATACATCACATGACTGTCAGGCCAGGTGGGGCCAGGTGGGGGCTGGATGGGCTATGTGGGGCAGCGCTATGGAGCTGCCCCGCACCCTGCCTGTGGTCGTGGCTACGTGTGTTACACTGAACTATAAACCAGCATTTAAAAAGGTTGGTTTTGCATAGATTTGTTAAAAACCACATTCAGAACTGGGGAGATGTGATATCTACTTGTGTAAGAGCCATTCTGCGATAGTGTCTTCCGGGATTTGAATGCCAAAGCTGATTGTTTTCTGCTCAGAAAGTGACTCGATTGTAATCTTGGAGCACGTGGTTTCAGACATCACTGGTTTTACATGGACTTGGGGGTGGGGGGCTCATTTCTGGGGGGATTGTGACAGGAGGGCCCGATGAAAGGAGGTGGCTGCCATGCTGTTGTGTCAATCGTAGGTGAGGCAGGTGGAGTCCGGAACGGTCCAGTTCCAGTACTCGCTGAGCCCTGAGGGACGCCGGGACACAGCGCCAGGGCACGGCCACAGCCCGGAGGTGGAGCGACAGCCCTCCAGGAAGCCACCCACATCCCCTGCAAGTAAGTGTTTGTGGAGAACTGACCTTGGGACGCACAGCACGACCTCCGTCTGTTCCTGCGGAGATGTGCTTGGTCCAGCGCGGTAGCAGTTACCCGGGGTTGCCACAGAACGCTTTCATTTCAGCCAGTTGGTTGAGCTTTGGCTCGATGTGGAGGTGTAGGATTGGACAGTGACAGAGGTGGCCGGCACCGTATCACCTGTTACCTGGAGCTCCCTGACCAGAGGCCCGTGGGAGGCTGTGCCGGTGGCGTGTGGGTCCTGCCGACGCGGGCTCCGGGGTTGGAGCTCAGCTGAGGGCCGTGGCTGCCGCCTCTGTGTTGCGCTGTTAGCGTGTCGTGTGTTTGCTGTTCCGACAGGTACTTTCCACCCACTTGCAGCACGTCCCAGAGTGGGGTGTCTGCTCTCTGCTCGGGCCTGGGGGAAAGGGAGCGAGGGCGACCAGCAGAGCCACGCCCTTCCTGTGGGTGGTGATGTGACCACGCGTGTGCAGGTGGTGAAGCAGCGATTGCGGCCTGTGTCCGGCCGGCCTGGCACCTGGTGGTCAGGGCCTCCTGCCTTCTGCCTGCGGACGCCCAGGCCAGCGCCCGCCTGGGAACCCCACCAGCAAGGCTGGCGTCAGAGGGGCGCTGGAGGAGTTCACTCTGCAGGGCATTGAGCGCCGGCCTGAGGCTTCTAGAGGTCGTGCCAGCTGAAAGAATGTTCTAGATCATAGGAGGCTATTCTCTTAGTTAGGAAGTTGGGAATGAACAAATGTGTAAGCCCGCAGAAGGGAGCTTCATCCTCGTCCATCATCCTGATGGATGCTGCTCAGTGTCCAGGGAGGACTTGCCGGTGTCTTGGCTGCAGGGTCCTGGGTGCCGGGTGGAGGGTCCTGGGTGCCAGGGTGGAGGGTCCTGGGTGCCGGGTGGAGGGTCCTGGGTGCCAGGGTGGAGGGTCTTGGGTGCCGGGTGGAGGGTCCTGGGTGCCAGGGTGGAGGGTCCTGGGTGCCAGGGCGGAGGCACTGGTGAGTCTGGGACTCGTTTGGGACTGATTTTTTAAAAAATTTTTTTTATGAGTTGAGATTCTAGTTTATGGAAACTGGTCTTGATGAATTTAATTTTGCAAGAATTAAATTTGCCCACTTTTTTCTTTGGCCTGGAACTTGGTACGCTGGCCACTGTCTGCCTGGTCTTCCAGGGTTTTCTGACATCCCTGAAGATATTCAGTACGAAACGAATAGTCGATTGCTTTGGGGCGAACCACATCATTAAGTATTTTCCTTCTTTTCAAAAAGACAGTTCATTTGACGGTTTTCGTTGTTTGGTTCATTCAGCTTTTGAATATTGTGCTCGCAGATTGCTCTCAGGGTTGCTGTTTACCACCAGTGTGTCCGTCGAGAGCCTGTCTTACATATGTGGCCGTGAGATGTATCGCACCACTCGCCCTAGAGAAGTTGCCAGGGTACCTGCAGGAGCCGCTGCGGTGGTCGGCGGAAACCTTGTATTTCCCGTTCGCGGCCCTTTAGAGCGTCTGCAGATCTACTTGATAAAGTTGAGGGCATTGAAGGCCTAGAATATATCGTTTACTTTTTTTTTTAACGTTTATTTATTTTTGAGAGACAGAGAGACAGCATGAGCAGGGGAGGGGCAGGGAGGAGGGAGACACAGAATCTGAAGCAGCCTCCAGGCTCTGAGCTGTCAGCACAGAACCTGACGCGGGGCTTGAACCCACAAACTGCGAGATCATGACTTGAGCTGAAGTCGGATGCTTAACTGACTGAGCCACCCAGGTGCCCTGATATATCGTTTAAAAATACTAAACGAAGGGTCCAGTTTATTTCCCACCCTTTCTCCCTGCAAATCTAGTATCTTTCCTTCCTTGACATATATTCATTGTTATGTTTAAAAAAATTTTTTTAATGTTAATTGATTTTTGAGAGAGAGAGAAGAGTGAGTGAGAGTACAAACAGGGGAGGGGCAGAGAGGGAGACACAGAATGTGAAGCAGGCTCCAGGCTCTGAGCGCTCAACACAGAGCCCGACGCGGGGCTCGAACTCACAAACCGCGAGATCATGACCTGAGTCGAAGTCTGACGTTTAACCGACTGAGCCTCCCAGGCACCCCCATTGTTATGTCTTAAAAATGAAACAAATTCCAACCTCTAAGAAAGGTAAACCTGAAAGAAGATAGTATCCCAGATTGTAAAAATAGGTAAATGTTGTGATTGAATAGTTTGATTAAGTCACTGGTGAAACAACAGCAGTGAAAGGTAGTAAGCGTAGTTCGCCCACGTGAGTGGAGATGTGCCGCCAGTCAGTGTCCCGGAGGGCGCACCTGTACAGCGGGCCTGCGGGGAAAACACAGTGACCTTCCCTGGAGAGGCGCTCGCGTGCGTTCAGTCTGCGGAGCCGTCGTGGTGCGGGAAAGAAGCGGCCGGTTGGTTTGAAGACCTTCTAATGGCATTAGTTCTGAGTGGCGGTGGGGTCGCCCTGTCACTGGGCTGCTTCAGGTGCACCTGCTGCAGGTCTGCGGGCTTGGGTCTCACCTTCCCAGCTGCCCTGTGTGTTGTTGTGAGCGGAGCTGGGATTTAAACCCAGTCTGCCGTTCCCTCCACTTCCCAGAATTTTATGGTGACTGATTTGTTTGCTTGGGGTTCACAGAGATTCTTGGATTTCCTGGTTTGTAATTTTCATCACTTTAGGAAAGTTTGTCACCATTATTTCTTTAGATATTCTCTCTAGTTTCCGCTTGCTCTCTGTCTCCTCTTTGTGCTGCAGCATCTGATCTGATCACACTGGCCAGGGTATTTTTCATCACAGATGCTGTAGTTTTCATGCCCGGGTCTGATTTACATCTTCCCCGTTTTCACGGGACACGTTTGGTGTGGCCTCCAGCTTTCTGAGCACGAGAAACGTACTTATAACTACTTTAATATCCTGTTTGCTAATTCCGACAGTCATCGTCACTTGTGGCTCAGTTTTGATTGGTTGATTTTTATCCTAATTTGGGTTGTATTTTCCTGCTTCTCTGCAGTCATTTTTCTTTATTGGGTTACAGATATTGTGAATCTTCTTTTATGGAGTGCTAAATACTTTTGTATTTGAAAAATACTTTTGAGCTTTGGGAACAGATCCTTTTGGATCTTGCCCTTCAGCTTTGTTAGATGAGACCAGATCCCCTCTTAGTCCAGTGCTAATCATTCCTGCTCTCACAGACATCCCCCCGATTACAAGTTTTACCGGTCTGGCCTGTGGAATGTTCCTGTGTCCGGCTACTGGTCAGGTGGCTCTTTCCCCAGCATTGGGTGCTTTCCTGATCAGTAACCTACTGAGTGCTGGAGGGGACCCTCTGTAAATGACCGAGCTCACTCTCTGCATGCCTGTCCTGACATTTGGCCCTACAAATTCCAGCTTCCTCGTTCTTCTGGGACCCTCAGCTCGTCTTCTCCATCAGGTCCACCGTGTCCTGTCTCCCTGCACCGTGACCTGCAGACTCAGTAATTGCAGACCTCACTTCCCTTTGTTTCCTGTCCCCCAGGGTCACTATCCTTTCTTGCCTGGATTCTATTGTCTTATATATTTTGTCAGTTTTAAAAAGTTTACTTCAGATGGGAGGGTAAATCTGGCCACCGCTGTTTACTCCATCTTGGCCAGGAGTAGAAGTCTCTGCCTGCTGTTCATGGTTTCTAGGCTGTTGAAATCCTCCGCCCCCGGGGCTGAGAGTCCAGTGGTTTTGAAGGTTTTCCCCACTGCTCCTGTGATTTCTTAGTCATGCCCTGTGTTTTCATGACGTGTGGCTCCTGCTCTCTGCTGGAATGTGTCTCTCTTGTGCATCGCATCTACTTTACTTTAAGATATATTCCTTTTTTAATTTTTTAGTTAAAAAATTGCATGGTTGGGGTGCCTGGGTGGCTTAGTCGGTTAAGTGTCCAACTTTCGCTTAGGTCATGATCTCACGGTTTGTGGGTTCGAGCCCCGCGTCGGGCTCTGTGCTGACTGCCAGCTCAGAGCCTGGAGCTTGTTTCAGTCTGTGACTCCCTCTCTCTCTGACCCTCCCCTGCTCACGCTGTTTCTCTCTCTCTCTCCTAGAAATAAAAAAAAAAAAAAAAAAAATTGCATGGTCAAGAATAGTCAAAGCAATTTTGAGGAAGGAAAGAAGCTTCACCTTCCTGCCTTGCCGCCACTCCCTAGAGTTGCAGTACCTGGAACAGGGTGACATCAGGGCAGCGATAGATATGAAGACACAATAAAAAGTGTGATGGGTGACAAGTCACAGATGAGCGTGTTACTTTTACTGTTACTGTCGTAGCAAATTACCATAAATGGAAAATGGCTTGAAGCACCACGGACTTACTGTCTTATGGTTCTGGAGGTTGGAAGTCCGGACCGGGACCCACAGGCTGGGGGAGAGTTCTCGGTGGAGGGGGGGGATCCTCCCAGAGGCTTGGGGGTGGGATCGGCCTCCTCGCCTCTCCAGCCTCCAGCAGCGGCCGCCGCAGTCTCTGGCCCCTCCCCCCTCTTCAAAGGCAGTGATGAAGAGTTTCCGAATCCCTGTCTGACTCTGATTGTCCTGCCTCCCTGTCACTGACCAGGCCCGCTGTGATCGCATCGGGCCCACCAGGTCATCCAGGACGGCCCCCCCAATCAGCGGCCATAATTCCTGGCAGTGGGACATCGGGGATGAGGATGTGGGTATTTCCGGGGTGGGGGGTGTGACGCGCTGAGGAGTACACGTCCTCGGTGTGGCTGTTTGTTCGATGCCGAGGATGCCCTCGGATGTCTCACGCGAGGGGCTGTGTGTCCGCCTCTGTCTCTTGCCCAGTAAAGCACTCACCACGTGTTTGCAGAGCTGACGTGAGTCCTGGCTGCGTCCTGGCGCTCGAGCGACGTCTGTCTGTCTGTCTGCCACACCCTGTCCCCTCACCCTCAAGCTCTCTTGTTGTTGGCTTCCTTCCGGGAAGTTTCTCCACGTAGTGGCCCCGGGAGCTCTAAGGTTATCCCGGGGCTCAGGAGTCCCGGCAG